AGAACCAGATCCCTGGCGAGCAGACATGCGAACAGGCTGGGTGCCCAGACTAGCCAGTCATTGAGGTATGCTAGCACCCGAAGACCTAAGAGATGCAGACGGGTCACCACGACCCGGATAAGGCGTGTGAACACACGAGGTGCCAGGTTCAGCCCGAACGAGAGACAACGAAAGCAGAAACCGAGATGCCCCAAAACCAAAACCAATCTCTGATGCCCAGATGAATCAGAACGTCCCAATACATTTCCTAAAGGTCCAGACACACCATCCAAGCGCCCGGCTCCAACACGAGCCAGACCTGGGACAGTAGTCCAAGTCTCCGTTTGTTACACACACCCAGGAAGCAGCCCGTAGCAGCTATCTAACTCCTAAGTACCTATTTACTGCTAGGTGAACAGGTGCATCAGGGTGAAAGAAATGTTGTCCATTTGTTTCCGCCTCCACCGGGGATCGAATCCAGATCCTTAAGACTAAGAATCCCGAGCGCTGTCCACTGAGCCGTCAGGTCAGGAGGGAAGCCCCCTTGTGGCTCCCTGTAGCTATCTACCCACGGAAAAGAAAAAGAGGGATAATGCCAGAGAGCATTCCTGAAGTGGAGTTTGAGAGTTGTTCTACTCCCAGAGTCAGGCCTGGGACCAGGCTTGACTTGAGGTAACTTGGTCCAACTGGCTGTTGCCTGGAGCAGCTATCAGGCCTATATAGCCATTACAACCCGGTTGGTTCGACACTTCTTACAAGAACTTGTCCAAGTGTATCTTTAAGACATCCAGCTTTGTTCCGGCAATAATTCTAATACTTGCAGGGAGGGGTGTTGAACAGTTGTGGACCCCTGATGTTCAGATAGTGCTTTATGATTGTGCCTTTTGCGCCTCTACTTCTAAATGGTTCTATTCTGAGGAAGCAGCACAAGAATCGCAATGATGTAGAAACGGTCAGTGTAGAAAGCTGACCCAGAGCCACACAGGGAAGCAGGAGCCCAGGAACAAAATCCAAAAATCTGGTTGCCAAGACCATGGTCAACCGCCAGAATCCCAGTGTCCGAAAATGGAGCCAAGGACGCACCGACCCCCATACACAAGCGGCAAGGATGACACCCTCCCCAAAAAGAACAGATGTTAAGAACAAAGAAAGTTGGTTTAGCAAAGCACATCAGCCAGCTGACCCTCCAGAAAAGGTGGAGCCTAGAGAAGATGGCCAAAATGAGCACCGCACAAGCAATGCTGGAACCAAGGCCAGGCCGGCCACCAAGGAACCAAAAGGATCACCGTCCCTTTATCTCTCCAACTTCTCCAGGACCCAGAACAACAGCTGGACCAGAGGAAAGAGGTAAAGAAACTCCTACTGCGACAGTCCAACCGAAAGGCATCCACCGTGAGGGCTATGCAGGTGGGAAATGTCATCACATAATTGCGTTGCTGTCGAAACCAAGCAGAGGTAGAGAGATCCAAGTACTAGTACAGTACAATACATGCGCCTAAATCTCCTGCACAGCCAGGAGGAGGAGGAGACAACATCGATGGTCCACTCTGTGGAGTTGGTAAGGAACCAGGAAGACTGTCAGCAAAAGGGAAAAAGAGCTGGACCCACCATGTCCAGCTCCAATGGTGGAGACCAAAGGAACCCCCACCTCACAGGTTGAGAAGAAACCACATTAAAACAATTGAATTGGAGCCGAACAACGAAGCCCTGAGGAATCGGAAACCACCACAGCGCAAGCCATATGTGCACAAACACCCACTCACAGTTGTGAACCTGACAAAGGAGGGGGAAACAATGCCTGGGACCAGCATGATGAATGCTACAAACAAGCCCCAGCTGAAAACCAATGCATCTAGAAGAATGTCGAGCACAGGCGGAAAAGGGTGCCAGGCCACTGAACACCAAAAAAGCCCAAAGGGGAAGCCAGTGATGTAGCAGCCGATGACAGCAAATGGAGTTCAAATCCAGGGGTCACGACAGCAGTGAAGGGAGTACCCCACTAGAACCAGTGAAGCCACTGAAGATACCTCCCCCACCCCCCACCCCCAAGGGGCAACTAAGAGACCAAGTTGAAGCCCCTGCACAGCTGCTGAACAATCTCCGAGTCACCAGAGTTCAACTCAACACCAACATCCAGCGGCACCACAGCCAGGACAAGGCTGTCAGGAGGTAGGTACCTCAACACCAACTGGGAGTCTTAGACCAGGCTGAACCAGGTTCAAATGAGGGCCAGAACCAACCGGGACTTCCGCAAATTCATCAGGAACCCTAATCCGGCAACCTTGGAAAGCCCCAATTCCCTGGCTAGCAGACATCCAGACTGGCTGGGAGCCCAAAAAACCCAGCCAGTGATCAAGGGGGGGGGGGGGGTCAAAACCTGAAACCCAAGAACGGAAGACGGGTCACCAAGATCCGAGCCCAGTGTGTAAAAACGTGCAGAGATAAATGCAGGCTAAATGAAAGGACCCAGAAGCAGTAGGCTAGACACCCTGCGAGAAAACCAAGCCAATCCCTGAACCTCTGAGGAAATGGGAATTGCCAAGAAGCATCCCAAAGGGCCAGGAAAATCAACCAGTTGCCTGACTCAAGAGCAAGACAAACATGGAACAAGGTGGTCATCCAGAAGGGGGGAGGGAGGAAGGAAGGAACCAGGACAGCTGTGAGAGCGAGGAAGAACCTGAGATGCCGGAGAAGCAATCATGGGACTTGAAATACGGGAGCCCATTGAAGGAAGAGAACATGTCAACCACGCCTGAAGCCATCCAACCGGTAATGACCTGACAGATGTGGAGAGGAAGCTTACCGGATAGACCCGAACCCCCAAAAGGGGACAAGATTGACCAACACTAGCAAAGGCCAACAAACAAGGCCCAAAAAGGCCCATGATATATGTGACCAGGCACTGGCAAACCAGGTGAACAAGACCCTTCGCAGAAGATGCAAGGCTCCACGAAGAGTTGAAGGGGCCCAATCCCCAACTCGGACTCCTCTCAAGCCCCAGAAGCCTCAGTGGTGGTTCCCTGAAGTAGATCCATCGCCCACCAACCAGGAAAGACCAGTGGAGTCCAAGGAAGAGGCTACGAAGGAGGGGACTGGCTGGTAAGAAAAGTTTTGAAGCCTCAGGGGGACCAAGAGGCTCAATTGCCTATGTGCCCGAAACAGAAAGGGCAAGCCCTGAAGCTGCCCAAGCCACAATCCAAATTAAACCCTGCCCCCAACCCCCATGAACACTCTGGGAACGGAAGCAGGGAAGGGAGAAAGCGAACACCAATCACCATGAAAGGAAGCAGAGACAACTGAAACCAGGGTCTAATGGACTAACACCTCCAAAACCAAGGTCTGACACCTAATGGAGCAGTGCCAGGATATTGAAACTGACATACCACATAGACTGCTGTAACCTAGAGAATACAAAATACTGTCACTGCCTAAAATGCCCGAACCACATCAGGAGGGCAAGTAAGAAGAATAGCATGATGGGAACACATCCCATATGACTCAAAGTCCAAGGTGTCACCAACCCAACAGGCTGCATGGTGGAGGCATGATGAATGAACATCACCGGCTGGTACAGATGATGAGCACCCTTCAACCTCCCATACAGCAAGAGCGGAGCTGATGTCTGCATCCCTTGGAAAGTCGAACCCGCAAAGAATTTCCAGGGTTGAAAGCATAAAGCAAAGCAAGCATATAACCAGTGATGTCCCACCAGTCCAAGGTATTCCAACTGGGGTTTAAGACAGAGGTTGAAAAACCCTAAACTCACACCAAGACAAAAACCTTCACAAGTGAGGTAGACCTCTGAAGGAACGTCACCAAACTCTCCAGAGAAGATAACCATGGCAGCGCATGGAAAGCAGCGCAAGGAAAGCACTAGGGAGCACACAGGAAAAGATAACCCTGAGCACAGGCAGCTCCAAGTGCATAAAACTCTTGGCCCATACACACTGAAAAGTGCAAGGAACAGCCACCAAGGTAAAATAAAACCCAAATGAAACACTGGGGCCACAGCGACTGTGGTCACCCAACACACATCAGAGGAGAGCTGAGGGTAGAGCGGCCTATAAGCCTGCACCTCTTCTCCCCCCCCCCCCAAGTGAGAAGGGTGGGATGAATGAGTAAGCGCTAGTTTATAACATTTTTGGTAGTTTGTTTATAGTTTGGAGGTGTTCTCTGGCAGTTTTAGAGTCTACAGGTATAGGAAGTAGTCAGCTGTGGTTTGTTTTGTCTTACTGACTTTCTGGGTGCCTTCCTGGTGACAAATAACTTTATACTGTATATAAATACCACAGCTCCCTGCACCTCTGTGAGGGGGACCAGGACCAGGATTCATAAAGCAGTTACTCAAGCACCTATGAACCTGTACATCTTTTCTCAATCTTAGGTGGCTTTGTTTACAATTATTAAACAGTTTATGAGCTCTGAAGCACGAAGGCTTTAAAAAGGAGGCTGTTTATAACAATAACAGTTGATTATTAAGTTTTCATGCTTGTAAACTGATTAATAAATGTAACCAAAGCCATCAAAGATTGGGGAAAGATGTAGTCATTCGTAAGTACTTGCGTAACTGCCTTATGAATTCAGGTCCAGGTTCTGGGTCTTCATTAGCTGGGTCTCTTGTAGGTAGCCCAGAGAATGCCACAACTGATGGCACCTAGTAGATAACACATGCATCAGAGATACTAGATACAGAGTGCCACAAGGGGTTTCCATCAGAAAAACAATTTATTAGCAGAATTAAAGATGGGTGGTGTAATGGCAAGGAGTACATAAGATTAATGCATAAAGTGTGAACTGTCCACCTAAACATACTGGGTATGTACAGTGAGGAGCACTTACTGGATTGAAGCAAGGGATTGGCACACTGTCCCTCAAAGTTTAAATTTCATACAACTACAACCTTTCCCAGATTAACAATTTAATATGTAAAAATGTGAAAAATTTCTTGAGTTGGGGTGAAATAAATACATAAAATCCTACAGAAAATACTAAAATAAATCACAAAATTGTGCTTTCCCCACCTGTAGTTTCCTTTCTTAGGGAGATGCTGCTTGAAGCGTTTCAATGTAACTGGGCGAGTGGGAACCCGTGTGACAAATGGCACAGCATCGTCATGAAAGTTATATACAATAGTAGTGCTCTCCGCTACACTTGTAACTGAGGAACCGCTGCCTGCTGCACCACTGGGAACTGAAACTCCACCAGCAGCCATCCCTCCTCCACCACCGTAGCTGCCTCCACCACTGCCACCACTACTGCTGCCGCCACTCTCACATAGCACCCCTGCAAGTGGATGGTACCCGATTTTTTCACATAATTTGTCTAGAAACATGCAAAAAAGATCAAATATATTCCAACAAATATACACTAGACACTGATAAAAATACAAATATAACTACACAATACTGCCTTTTAAATAACTTGATTTGTCACACAGACTAGCAACTTGAGAATATGTTTCAATCACAGCTGATTCAGAGAAACATCCATATTCCCTGCTTGATACCTGCTTGATGGGGTTCTGGGAGTTCTACTCCCCATGTCCAGCCTGAGGCCAGGCTTGACATGTGAGAGTTTGGTCCACCAGGCTGTTGCTTGGAGCTGCCTGCAGGCCCACATACCCGCCACAGCCTGGTTGGTCCGGCACATTTTTTAGAAAACAGTTTAGTTTTCTCTTGAAGATGTCCACGGTTTTTCCAGCAACATTTCTTATAGTCGCTGGGAGGACGTTGAACAACCACGACCTTTGATGTTTATACAGTGTTCTCTGATTGTGCCTATGGCACCTCTGCTCTTCATTGGTTCAATCCTGCATTTTCTTCCATATCGTTCACTCCAGTACGTTGTTATTTTACCATGTAGATTTGGGACCTGGCCCTCCAGTATTTTCCATGTGTATATTATTTGGTATCTCTCTCGTCTCCTTTCTAGAGAGTACATTTGGAGAGCTTTGAGATGATCCCAATAATTTAGGTGTTTTATCGCGTCTATGCGTGCCGTATATGTTCTCTGTATTCCCTCTATTTCAGCAATCTCTCTTGCTCTGAAAGGGAAAGTGAGTACTGAGTAGTACTCGAGACAGGACAACACAAGTGACTTGAAGAGTACAACCATTGTAATAGAATCCTTGGATTTGAAAGTTCTCGTAATCCATCCTATCATTATCTGCCCGCTCTAAATCCATGTTGTCCTGGATTGTGTAGCTTATTATTTTCCATAAAACTAGAAATTTGATTCCCAATCACTCTTTCAAACACTTTTATTATGTGTGATGTTAGTGCAACTGGGTTATAATTTTTTGCCAAGGCTTTACTACCCCCCCTTGTGCAGAGGAGCTATATCTGCAGATTTAAGTGCTGCTGGTATCTCCCCTGTATCCAGGCTCTTTCTCCATATTATGCTGAGTGCTCGCGCTATTGGTACTTTAAATTTCTTTATGATTATTGAATTCCATGAATCAGGCCCAGGAGCTAAGTGCATGGGCATATTGTCAATTTCTCTTTCAAAGTCTTCCGAGTTTGTGTTAATATCTGTTATATTATCTGCAGCTTGAATGTCATTAATAAAGAAGCTGTCTGGGTCATCAACTTTCATGTTGTTTATTGGTGTGCTAAACATAGCCTCATACTGGCTTCTTAGAATTTCACTAATCTCTTTGTTGTCCTCTGTGTACGTACCTTCATTTGTAATTAATAGTCCAATATTGGTCGAGGTTTTGGATTTTGCGTAAGTGAAAAAATACTGTGGATTTTTCTTTCTCTTGTATAGCTTTCTGTTCCAATTCCATTTCCTCAGACTCGTATGATCGTTTCACCGTTTGTTCTATTTCTTCGATCTCCCTGTTTAGGTTTATTTTCCTTGCTTGTGATAATTGTGTCTGCCGAAGCATTTCCATTATTTTTTTCCTTCTCCTGTACAGTCGTCTGTGTTCTCTTTCTAGAGTGGTCCTCTTTCTGCCCCTCCTCACAGGCACGTGCTTCAAGCAGACCTTGTAAGCTTCAGCTGTCAGTTGAGCTATTCCCTGTAATTACCTAAGTGTAATTACCTAAGTGTAGTTACAGGATGAGAGCTACGCTCGTGGTGTCCCGTCTTCCCAGCACTCTTTGTCATATAACGCTTTGAAACTACTGACGGTCTTGGCCTCCACCACCTTCTCACTTAACTTGTTCCAACCGTCTACCACTCTATTTGCGAAGGTGAATTTTCTTATATTTCTTCGGCATCTGTGTTTAGCTAGTTTAAATCTATGGCCTCTTGTTCTTGAAGTTCCAGGTCTCAGGAAGTCTTCCCTGTCGATTTTATCAATTCCTGTTACTATTTTGTACGTAGTGATCATATCACCTCTTTTTCTTCTGTCTTCTAGTTTTGGCATATTTAATGCTTCTAACCTCTCCTCGTAGCTCTTGCCCTTCAGTTCTGGGAGCCACTTAGTAGCATGTCTTTGCACCTTTTCCAGTTTGTTGATGTGCTTCTTAAGATATGGGCACCACACAACAGCTGCATATTCTAGCTTTGGCCTAACAAAAGTCATGAACAACTTCTTTAGTATATCGCCATCCATGTATTTAAATGCAATTCTGAAGTTAGAAAGCATTGCATAGGCTCCTTGCACAATATTCTTAATGTGGTCCTCAGGTGATAGTTTTCTATCTAGAACCACTCCTAGATCTCTTTCTTTATCAGAATTCTTTAAAGATTTCTCACATAATATATAGGTTGTGTGGGGTCTATGTTCTCCTATTCCACATTCCATAACATGACATTTATTAACATTAAATTCCATTTGCCAAGTGGTGCTCCATATACTTATTTTGTCCAGGTCTTCTTGAAGGGCATGACAATCATCTAAATTTCTTATCCTTCCTATTATCTTAGCATCATCAGCAAACATGTTCATATAATTCTGTATACCAACTGGTAGATCATTTATGTACACAATAAACATCACTGGTGCAAGAACTGAACCCTGTGGTACTCCACTTGTGACATTTCTCCATTCCGATACATTGCCTCTGATTACTGCCCTCATTTTTCTATCAGTCAGAAAATTTTTCATCCATGATAGAAGCTTACCTGTCACCCCTCCAATATTTTCCAGTTTCCAGAACAACCTCTTATGTGGAACTCTGTCGAAAGCCTTTTTTAGGTCCAGATAGATGCAGTCAACCCAGCCATCTCTTTCCTGTAATATCTCTGTGGCCCGATCATAGAAACTGAGTAAATTCGATACACAGGATCTTCCTGATCGAAAACCATACTGTCTGTCTGATATTATATCATTTCTCTCCAGGTGTTCTACCCATTTAGTTTTGATTAGCTTTTCCAATACTTTCACTATTACACTTGTCAATGATACAGGTCTATAATTGAGGGGGTCTTCCCTGCTGCCACTTTTGTAGATTGGAACTATGTTAGCCTGTTTCCACACGTCTGCTACGATTCCTGTACACAGGGATGCCTGAAAGATCAGGTGAAGTGGAATGCTGAGCTCAGATGCACATTCTCTCAGAACCCATGGTGAAACGCCATCTGGGCCAGCTGCTTTGTTCCTCCCGAGCTCCTTTAGCATATTTTCCACTTCATCTCTAGACACCTCTATCCGCTCTATGTTGTTCTCTGGAATTCTTATTGTGTCTGGTTCTCTGAAGATTTCATTTTGTACAAACACACTTTGGAACTTTTCATTTAATGTTTCACACATTTCCTTTTCATTTTCCGTGAATCTGTTTCCCATTTCCAACCTCTGGATATTATCCTTTACCTGCAATTTGTTGTTTATGAATTTGTAGAATAGGCCCGGTTCTGTTTTACATTTATCTGCTATCCCTTTTTCAAAATTTCTTTCTGCCTCTCTCCTTACTGCTGTATAATTGTTTCTCGCATCTTTGTATCGCTGGTATGTTTGGGGGTTTGGCCTCTTCCTATACTGATTCCATTTTTGTGTCTTTTGGTCTCTTGCCCTCTCACAATTTCTGTCGAACCAATCCTGTTTTCTGGTCCTGCATCTCTGTTTTGGTATAAATTTTTTTGTGCCTTTATCATATATTTCACAAAACTTGCCATACATCTCATTCACTTCCTTGCCTAGCATCAAGTCTGTCCAATTATACTCACTAAAAAAATTTCTAAGGTCACCATAATGTCCTCTCCTGAAGTCTGGTTTTTCAACTGCTTCAACCTCCTTATTTTCTTCCAGCTTATAACGCATTGCATACTTTATTCCCAAAAAGACATGGTCACTTTTACCCAAGGGAGGAAGGTACTGAATGTCAAATATCTCTTCCTCCTTCCTGGTAAATATCAAATCTAGCATGGAGGGAACGTCCCCTTCCCTCATCCTCGTAGCTTGTTTAACATGTTGATACAAGAATGTTTCCAGGATGAGGTCTACAAATTTACAGGTCCAAAAATCTTCTGTTTTAGCTTCATATGCTTCCCAGTCTATGGATTTCAAGTTGAAGTCACCGACTATCAACAGTCGTGATCTATCGTTATCCGCTCTCGCTATAATCTCTCTCATTATTGTTATAAGACCTTCACGTTTACTATCTAGCTCCTCCTTTGACCATGTGCTGCTTGGCGGTGGACTATATGCATTTATCATCATTAGTTTATCATCCTCATAGCAGATCTCTAGTGCTATTATGTCAACTTCTTGTGGATTGGCAGTCATTATTTCCTTCACCTTTAGGTGTTCTTTTACCAGCACAGCAACGCCACCGCCTTTCCTAATTTTTCTATCCCGTCTCCAAATTGAGTAGCCCCTTGGGAATATGACCTCATTTAAAATTACATCTTCAAGTTTTGTCTCCGTGAGTGCAACAATGTCTGGTGTCTGCAGCTGTATTATATCACTTAACTCCAGTATCTTCGATCTCACTCCATCTATGTTGGTGTATGCAATCTTCAGGAACTTGTTCCCCCTCTCCTTATTCTTCACTCCCCCTCTCTCTATTGATTTTGTTGGTTTGCCTTTATGTACCACTTTACTGGTTTGCCTACCCCTATCACTTTGTAGAAAAAAGAATTTATTTCTTCTTCATTCCTGCTCTCATTTAAATGTTTTGCCTCGGCGAGGTTCAGTTTCAGCTTCTCTCTATCTTCTTTTGAAAGATCTCGTCTTAACGACCACCCTTTCCCATCCTCATCCCTTTGCAATTTTCTAGCATTCCTTAGTACTTCTTCCATCTGTTTGGCACCGTTTAGGGTGATCCTCAAAGGTCGATCTTTCCCTTTTACGTACCTGCCTATTCTCCTGTAGTCGCACACATTCTCTCTGTTTGTAAGACCTTCCACGAGGCCAACAATTTTATCTACTACTTTAGCTTCTTCTACAGCTCTTTCTGACCTAGATGTTATCGCCTTTTCTTTGCAGCCAAAAATGATCAGGGACTTACTCCGATCAACTGTGTTTTGCACCAACTTCGGGTTAGATGCCAATTCTTTCCTCACTTCTAGCCTAATGTTTGTTTTATCTTGGTTGCTGCAGTGTTTGACTTCCTTTACTGCTTCTTCTATTTTTTCCTTCTCCTTGGCCACTTGTGCATAAGTGAGTTGCATATCTTTCTTGCACTGTTCTATTCCCTGTGTAACTTCCTCCATCTGTGCTGACAAAAGCTGTTTCTCCTGTTGAATTTCCTTGCCTAACCTATTGTAGTCATTTATGTTTAAATTTACTTTAACTTCTTCCAAAGCTATTTTTAAGAGTTTATTTTCTTCTTCCATGGCTTTGCAATTTGTTTCCAATTGATTCTTATCCTTGCGCAAGTCTTTCACTAAACCCTCAAGACATAAAACTTTGCTATTCAAATGGTCATTACTTTCTTTCAATTTACTAATTATTTCTACATGAGAGTTCACTATAGTATCTAAATTTACCAACTTGTTATGTAGACTACTAATATCAATGCTTTCTTCATTGAATCCCTCAAAATCAAGCTCTGTTTTGTTTTTCCCCTTGCCAGTGGCCATCTTGAATGTTCTTCTCTGCACTGTAAACACTAGGGCAACTTTTTCTCATCCGATTCTTCACTTCCCTTAGCACTTTCCTGTTATCTCACCTATTTTTCAATAGCACTATACCTTTATGTTCTCTGGGACACCACTCACTACCATCAACCTGTACTACAATACTTAGGATTGTTGAAATATGCTGGAGCTCCTCTGCTGCAAGTGTTGACCCTAGGGGTGTCACCTTTTGAATTGTGGAAAAATTTTGAAATTTTTTTTTTTGAAGAATTTGAAGAATTTTGAAAAAAACTGTGTGGGAGTTTTGTCGCTTAAGACCGTCTCCCATTGAATGGTTGCAAGGTCTACATTTATTTTTTCCCAGTCGATCCTCTTATTGTTGAAATTGAATTGATTGAATACTCCTCCTCGCTTGTTGGATCTCTTAGACCTACTACCGTTATTTATGCTAGTTCGCGCTTCAATGAGCTTATGGTCTGAGTATGTAGTATCTGAGAGTGTAATGTCTCTGATTAGTTCATCATTGTTTGTGAATAACAAGTCTAGTGTGTTTTTGTTCCTAGTTGGTTCTGTAATCTGTTGATTGAGCGAGAATTTGTCACAGAATCTCAAAAGTTCTCTGACCTGTGGTTGGTTATTTCCCGGGTCATTCCCTGCTATGATATTTGTGTTTGCCGTTCTCCATCTTAGACTCGGTAAATTGAAATCTCCAAGGAAGATAATATCTGGAGCTGGGTTTGCTAGGTTATCAAGGATGTTCTCTATTTTGTGCATTTGCTCTGTGAATTCCTCAACCATTGTATCTGGCAGTTTATATATTAGAATAATAATTAGGGTTTAGTTTTTCTACCTTAATTCCAAGTACCTCTACCACCTCATTGGTTGATTTAGTAGCTCTGTGCATACCAGGTCTTCTTAAATATACAGACCTACTCCTCCATTTGTCCTAGTTTCTCTATCACATCTATATAAATAATAATTTGGAATCCAGATTTCACCATCCATGTAATCTTTTGTATGAATTTCCCTGAATGCCCCAAATATTGAGTTTGACTCTAATAGGAGGCCATTTATGAACTTTATTTCTTGACTTTGGCTTTAAACCTTGAATGTTTGCAAATATGAACGATTGTCCAAATTGTCCGTAGTCCAGTAGTCCGTAGTCTTAGGCACTGTGCCTGCCACTCTCTATGGTGTACAACAAATCACTGGTAACAGGTGAACTGCCAAAAATTTGGAAGGCGGCAAACGTAATCCCGATATACAAGGGGGATAGACAGGAGGCGCTGAACTACAGGCCAGTGTCCCTAACTTGCATACCATGCAAACTAATGGAGAAATATGTGTGAAAAAAGCTAGTCGAACATCTGGAGCGAAGGAACTTTGTCTCACAACACCAACATGGTTTCAGGGATGGTAAGTCATGCCTCACAGGATTAATTGAATTCTACGATCAGGCAACAAGAATCAGACAAGAAAGATAGGAGTCAGCAAACTGCATATTTTTGGATTGCCAGAAAGCCTTTGACACAGTGCCACACCAGAGGCTAGTGTGAAAGCTGGAGATGCAGGCAGGAGTGAAAGGGAAGGTACTCCATTGGATAAGGGGGTACCTCAGTAACAGAACGCAGCTAGTCACTGTGCGGGGTGAGGTCTCGGATTGGCAAGACGTCACCAGTGGAGTCCCGCAGGGGTCAGTCCTTGGACCCATACTGTTTCTTATATATGTAAATGATCTTCCAGATGGTATAGAATCATTCCTCTCATTGTTTGCTGATGATGCAAAAATTATGAGGAGGATTAAGATGGAGGAAGACAGTATAAGACTAGAAGATAACCTAGACAGACTGCATGAATGGTCCAACAAATGGCTACTAAAGTTCAACCCGAGTAAATGTAAGGTAATGAAACTAGGCAGTGGAAACAGGAGGCTAGACACAGGATACAGAATGGGAGATAAAGTCCTTCATGAAACGGACAGAGAGAAGGATTTAGGAGTTGATATCACACCAACCCTGTCTCCCGAAGCCCACATGAAAAGAATAACGTCTGCGGCGTATGCGAGGCTGGCTAACATTGAAACTGCCTTCAGGAACCTGTGTAAGGAATCATTCAGAACCTTGTATACCACATATTTAAGACCAATCCTAGAGTATGCGGCCCCAGCATGGAGCCCGTACCTTGTCAAGCACAAAGCGAAGCTTGAAAAAGTTCAGAGATATGCCACTAGGCTAGTCCCAAAACTAAGAAGCATGAGTTGCGAAGAAAGGCTGCGAAAAATGCACCTCACGATACTAGAAGACAGAAGAGTAAGGGGAGTCATGATCACTACCTACAAAATTCTCAGATGAATTGACAGGGTGTATAAAGATAAACAGGTGGTACGCAAACAAGGGGACACAGGTGGAAACTGAGTACCCAAATGAGCCACAGGGACGTTAGAAAGAACTTTTTCAGTGTCAGAGTAGTTAACAGATGGAATGCATTAGGCAGTGATGTGGTGGAGGCTGACTCCATACACAGTTTCAAATGTAGATATGATAGAGCTCAGTAAGCTCAGGAATCTGTATATCAGTTGATTGACAGTTGAGAAGCGGGACCAAAGAGCCAGAACTCAACCCCCGCAAGCACAATTAGGCGAGTACAGTAACTCTATACAACTATAGTATTATGAATATTTCTTAAAAAGAACAATGCAATGCTACCCCCTCTCCTTGTGTTCATATATTTTAAAATGTGAACATATTACCTGGTGGGTTAGTGAGGTAGTTGCTGGGTGGTGGTAGCATCCCCAATGACAAGCAGCGAGTTGCTATACGAGAAACTGCCTACATATACATACAGTAATCTACTATAACCGAGAGCTTTCAAAAGAAGTAGCGAGAGGATTTACTATTCTAAATAAGAGTAATACCTGAATATTTCCAGATAGGAGTGATTTTGCCACTAAAAGTTTTGAAGCCTCTAATGGTGTTCACATACACTATTCTCTCATTTAATTTGTTTCACCCATCTACCACATTGTTTCCTAAAGAGAATGAAAACATTATTTTGGATCCTTTGTTTTTATAACTTAAATCCATGACCCCCTTGTTCTCAAATTTACAGATTTCAACAACTGATTAACCCTCTTTTCTTCTAGTTTTAACACACAACATTTTTAACCTATATTCATAACTTTTGTTTTCATACGTTGAGAGCCATTTTGTAGCATGGCTTAACACATTTATAATTTTATCTATTTTTCTTCAAACACACACACACAAACATATGCTGCAACTGCTGCAATACTAATTTAGGTAACATGTTATGACATTTATTTTGAAGCACTTCTCCATGTATATAAAGGAAATTCAGAAATTAGCCAGAGCAGCAGAGACCTTTTAAGTATACCCTTGATGCTGTCCTCAGGTGACAGTTTATTATCCACCACTAGATCTTTTTCTTGATAAAAGTTCTTGAGAGTTTGAGAGCAGTAAGGCTAAAGAACATTTAATCTGTGTGGGAGGCCCCATATTGTAGTCCCATGTATCCGACTGCTTACCTGAGTAATCTCCAGTCAAATACAAGAGGCACAACCACCACAAGATAATAAGTGAATTTGGGATAAGATGGGAATGCTATATATTAGCACACACTTTTATAATCATAATGCTAGTGCTAGTATTTAAACTGATACACTAGGGTTATTATATTCATTCTTTCTGTAGCCCATTAGCCATATGCCCTTTCGATCTAGATCTTTTTAACCATGACTTCTTACACAAGCCATTTACCAACCCTTGCTCAAGTCTACTTGCAAATCATGCACAAATTCCTCTCAAGTCAATTACTTATACAAGATATTTCCATAAATAAGGATAAATACTACAGAACAGTGTGATAATATATCACTGACAATAGCTATAGCTCCACCACTGCCTTATGACAGTACCTAAACCTACTCCTTTCATGCCCAGCCAACTGTGACCAACCTGGAGGTGTAGGCTGTGAGTGTCTGGAAGGTCTTTGTCTCCTTAGTGTAGAACCATTTGAGCCGGAACCACCAGGAACTGAGACAGAGACTGAATCCGCATGGCAGGGGCCTCGTCCACTACCACCATCCGAGTGCCCTCGGCTGTGACCAGAGCTATGACTCGAGCTGTGACCTGCCGACCTGCTGGAGCCGTGACTTCCACCACCCCTGCAGGTACATACATGGCACTCCTATTATGCTTTACCATCTTTGTTTTAGAAGTTCTTATTATCAAGAACACCTTCAATTAAAGTACTGTAGTCAGCTATTACCATCATGATGACTGAACTTTTAAAAATTTTACAAGGATAGTTATAATTGTGAATGGTTTCACGTAGAACACTGACAACATGAAATAGGTACTGTATCATAATAACGTTTATTAGAGTAAAACAAGTTTATTCGTAGTGCTTGACAAGAGGATGTTGAAGCACGTAAATTAAGAAAAACTATACTGTACTTTTAAGAAATTATTAAGTTGATACATAAATAAATGAATGAATGTACAGCTGACAAGAGACATTCATAGAGATGGAATATGAAAATAAAGGTTATACTGTAGTTGTTGAGTGGGTAGGTGAGAGGATGACTGGGATTAATATTAAGTGGGTGTATGAAGATGATTGCTGTACACAGATGCAAGTAGATGATGGCTACCAATAGCCCAATGATGAGCTTGTCAGAGCCTGTTAATTTCTTTACCTGCTCCTCCTCTTAGTGTCATCTGGATGCTGAGGATGGGACTGGTGCAATGCCTGAGACACGTGTGCAGGGTGACCTGGGTGGGAGACGTGCACTATGTGGCCCGAGACATCGCGTTGCTCCATGCCCGACGACCCTATCCACGTACTTCCTCCCCTCTCTAGTGACCCAGAACGCCCACCAGCTAGGCTTCCACTGCCACCGATGCTGCCACCCACGCTCGTGTTGCTCCCACTGGTACCCGTTCCACCTATACTAATACCACTCGCACTCCTCCGACCTCCACTGCTACTACTGCGTCTAAAAGAAAAAACACAAAGTCAATTAGTATTATTCTATACTATTAGTTTTATGAGTATATATCAATATCTGGCTACTTGAGCATATTCTTCAATGAAACTGCCCCCTGTTCTTCACATCTACCCCGAATCTAAATATATTTTGAAATCTTAATTATCATTCATTTCTAAAATAGCTTATTTATTTTAGGTTATTAAATTATAATAACCGGTGACCTTAATAATCCCCTACAAGGGATTGGAGAGAATAATAACAATAGTGGAACACCTGGAACTGATAGAAGTTGTAACCAACATTACATGAGATCATGGAAGAAAAATTGTGCCTAGTATGCAATCACATCTTTTGACAGTGATTAAATGGAATAGCTGAGAGGGATGAATGGATTGCATCTGTCTTGACCATCTGAATATCATGGATGCATAAACCTTAATAAATTAATATACATTTTTACACAGGAGAGAAATGGAGGAGTGAATTGTTTACAGTACCAATACCTGTACTTACATTTAAAAAACTTTGCCTCAGTTTACCACAACAATTATTCTGAAAATAAGAGCATATGAGTAAAAGGAACCCTACTAGCACGGATGAAAGTTTTTCTAACATGCATATTGACGAGGGCCACAATACTGTGGAGCCTCGATTAACGAATTTAATCCGGTCTAGCACTTGGCTCGTTATGTGTAAAACTCATCTTTAGAAACAAATTTCCCCATTTAAAATAATGGAAATAAAATTACTCCAATCCACCCCCAAAAACATCAATACTGTAACCACGCGATTATCCAGGATTCGAACATCCAGAAAACGCCCTTATACAGCCAAAATCGTGACTGGATAAAGTTATCGCAATATCCGGCCAAAATGGCCATGGGAGCCAGATAAAAGCTGGTTTAGCCGAATAAAAAATCAGAGTCCGTTAACTTGCTGCCGATGTTACATTATCCGGACAGTCAGCCGGATAATCATTGAATTGTCCAGATATGAAAGCCATGGGGCGAGCTGTATCATATTAATCCCATCTGGCTGTGGCTGGCTGGCTTGAGGCGCATGGTGAAGGGGGTGGGGTTGGTGGTTGGTGTCGGGAGAGTGGGAGGGGTGCATTGGGACAGATCATCTGGGTACAGGAATTACCATTAATTTTAGAACAATTCATCATAGCCAAAAACCAGCGTTGAATGTAATGAAACGCCATTTTCTGGGTGAGCCCCAAAGGCTCCCTGGAGCTTATCGGGCTAATGTATGTTATATTAGACCGGGACATTAGCTAAGGAGTTCAGACCAACCAGGGACCAGCACCAGAACCTGGCCCCTTCAGAGAGGTTTCAGGGAGCAATGGCCCTGGAAAACCCCCTTGTGGTTGGGGTTTTCCTTATCTGCTATTGATCGGGGTTAGGCACCCAGAAAGGTAGGCATAACAAAACAAACCTCACATGGTAAAAAACTAAAACAAAAAAATGAACAGAGAGGTAGAAACTCCCTACAATCCCAAGGAAACAAGTAGACATCACACTTTACTGCCGCGCTGATTGTCCGCGCAGCCCTCCCCGCCCCAAGAGGGGGAGGGGGCAGCCTCGGACCTCGCCGCACCGGCTGCCTAGCATCAATTCATAAGCTAATGTCAACTGGGATAGACGCTTCTCTGGCCTCAATATCCTAGGTGGTGTTTGCCTTGTGTGGCGTTCACTGCCGTGTGTTTTGTGCGGTGGCCAGGTGTTCCTCATCAGTACCAGGGCTGTATGCGCTTAGGGGCTTCTTTCCCTAAGCGCCCTGTGAGTACTGCCCCTGCGTGACAGGGTTATCCTCCCTGGGGCATTCGGGAACCATTCCCATAGAGGTTCTTGCTTCTCAGCATTTGCCTTGCCCTTGGGGCCAGCTGGGGCTTGGGGCCCTTGTTTGGCCCTGGGTAGGGACTGGTATTGTGCTGGTTAGGGCGTCAAGGTGTTGCGCGACCTGCCACCTCTGGAGATGGTGTACTTTTGCGGGGTTTTTCTTTTGTTTTTATTTTAATTTGCCTGGTGGAGGTCTGCCTAGTGTGGCTATAGTTCCACTGGTAGTTTTTGGTCGCCTTCTGCTAGGCCTCCGTGATTGCCGACACGCGAGCAAGGAAGCATAGAACAGGGAAACCACATCCGCAAAATCGGCGCGAAAAGCTTCAACAAGGTAGCCGATGAGCGAGCCACTGAGGACAAGGCGCAAGAACGCAGGACGGAGCCAAGCGCTCTCACATCCTCCACGAGCCAATCCGTGGACAGCTCCAGGAGGGAAAAGAACCGCAAGGCCAAAGCCAAATGGCCCCGGGCACGCAAGTCCTCTGAAACAAGCACCGTCGAAAGAGAGGGAACCTGCACATGGAGCTGAACAATGCCAACATCACATGGAAGGGCAGGGACAAACAAGCACTCGTTTAGGTACTCAAGATCGCCCCCAGGAAAACCTGAACCACCGTGGAAGCTTCCTGCCACTTCAACGTGCGGGAATGAAAAAAGGAATGCCAGGCATCCAAAACAAATAAAGGGCAGTCCGCTAGCCAGGAAGACTCCGGAACCTCGTAACGGAGCCAAAAAGGGAACGAAGTCCCAAACTTGAATTCCAAGGGATCCATCTCCGAGGCATAATCCGGGTCACGCAGGAGGTATGTTGCAAGGGCCGCCCGCACCACACCAAGTTGGATGCGATAAGCCGATAAAGACGGAAGACAAGCCTGGAAAGACGGAACCGATTCACCCGGGGTAACACAGAACCGAACCCTGGGAGGAGCAGACACCAAATCCAACTCGTACGCAGAGGGGGTAAAAAAAAAATCCCACTCCTTGCAACAGTAAACCCTGCTCAGAGGAAATAAAAACCCAGGCGGAGTCTAGCGGGGCCCAAGGCCCCCAAGTCAGCCCCTCCCCAGCCCCTAGGTCCCCAACAGCAGGACCCTGGGCCGAGTCATTTCCCCCAAGCACCGACCCCACAAGACAAGGACGGTGCAGCCGCAGAAGCCGAAAGGAAGGGGGCCCACTGGTCAGACCCAGAAGCTTTGGCCATGAGACAAGACTCGAAAGCTTCCGCTGCCCCCACCCCCCTTCCCGGAGAGGGCATCCCCCGAAGCTGCCCGAGTCTCGAGATCAAGTATCCCCCTGCCCCAATTCCGAAACCCTCAGACATTTTGGGGCCGGAATCAGGAGGGGAAAGGGACCAGAACGAACAACTGGAGGGGAAGGATGAGGAGGTGCAGACTGAACCAGGATCGAAGCGACCCCCACCCCAAAGTCCGGGTCTCGAAAAGCAAAGCGGAGCAGCACCGGGTCATCCGGGGTGAGCAACCAACTGAGTGTGTTGCAACAGATGAAACCTAGCTTGCAACGCTTGCGCCGCCCGTACCCAAATAGAATCATCAGAGGATTGGGTAAACTGAGTCACTAGCAAGCAGCAACACTCACAGGACTCCGGGTTGAAAGTATCACCGATCCAACAGGTGGCGTGGCAGAGGCAAAAACAATGAGGGTCACCCCGAGACAAGGGGAACGAGCAACCCTCAAACTCGCACAAAATGACAAGGGACTCCAGGCTCACATCCATTGAATCCTTGCGCCCCCTAGGGGATTTCCAGGGTCCTGAGCGTTTACCTTAAGAGTACTCGCACCCAGGTAGTCCCAGACAGGGTGCTGCTAACTGGCACCCAAAACTACAAAGCGAACTTCTATAGCTGAACCCCAGGGATGTGTACACTCACAGGGACCTAGCAGGCGGCACCACCGAGGAGGACCATGACAGGGCAAACACCAGTGGATAATAAGGCAAAACCCCCACAAGGCAAAAACAAAAAGAGAAACAAACACCTGCAAGAGGACAGCGAACCCCAGGAACAGAGCCGGCCACTATGTTGGGAAAACGAAGCTGCGCAGCACTTTGCGCCCCTACCAGTGTAAACTGCCACTTACCTGCAGGTAACAAAGGAGAACAGAACACCCAAGAACCCAACGGGTGGCCGAAAAACTGAACGGTAGAACGGACCAGCAGAGGACCGAGGAGCCTGTGGAAGATGGCCCCAAGCTCCAAGGGCAGTACTTATAGGGCACCTAGGGAAGGCAGCCCTAGGCACATGCAGCCCGAGTACTGAAGATAACCTCCTGGCTCTCACGCCATCGGAAAAACAAACACCACACACGAAGCACAGTGCTGAAAAGACACTGAAGCCAGAGCACACGACCTCTGCCTATAGCATCAGCCTCAAGAACTAAGGTGTGGGTAGCCAGCATGAGGGGTCTGGGGCTCCCCCTTCCTCCTCCCGGGGAGGGGGGAGCTGCGCAGACAGCGGTGAGGCGACGTATGACATCATACTAGTTTGCTCACTTTGTTTGGGAGTTCTATCCACTAGTTCAGATTTTGGTAACAATTTTAACCAGAATAGGGGTCTATTTTGGGATGCTTACCTTTCTGGGTGCCTGATCCAGTCGATGGCAGACATAGAATGCTTCTAACCACACAGGGGTTTCTATAAGCTAATGCTTCCCTTGCCTCTCTGAGGGGATCAGGTTCTGGCTCATGGTCCCTGGTAGGCCTAAGAATTCCATACACATGACTGATGCCAAAGTCTGACACTAGCATATCAGCCAGGGATAGCTCCGGGGAGCCGACGGGGCTCCCCCCAGAAAAGACTATAAAAATTTGAGTGTGGTTTGTGCACTCATGGCCAATGCTTGGCCTACCTTGCAGTGCGCGGTAGGTCATTTCGTGGGCATGCGAAAGTGTTAACACTTTCGCTCGCTGGGTGAGCAAGCGCCAGACCGTCCCAAGGTGCGCCGCGCATTCTACGGAAGCTCGCGTTTTTTTTTTATTTTTGTTGTCACTCTTTTCAATATTGTCACTTCAATTCTTGTCCTAAGTCTTTCATTTTGGTATCAATGTGTTCGCAATAGAATTCCCTACAGGAGTATATGCATATATAGTCCAAGAGCGCGGCGTAACACCCACTGCAAACAGAGAAAGTGACAGCACATTACCTGTGA